TCTCTCTCTCTCTCTCTCTCTCTCTCTCTCTCTCTCTCTCTCTCTATCTCTCTCTCTCTCTCTCTCTCTCTGAGTGTGTGTTTATCAATGGAAAGTGTTTTTTATTATCATCCGTAAATTTGTCATTTCACATCCGTTTGATTGAACATATCAGTTAACAAAGTGGTGAGCATTTGTTTGCGTGCAATATTTACTCTCCCATGCGCGCTGTCTTCTTTCTTCTCTTTGCTCCTTATTTTTCATCCAAATAAATTTCAATGTCTCGGCTACCGTTTAAGCTCAACCAAAGCGAACGAGAGAAGGGAAAACAATTCGTTCACTCGCTCGTCTGCGCTCTACCTCATGCAAATGTATGCAAATCACTCAGAGTCTAATATACTTTTTGCACATATTTCAACATCATCGTTGTATGTTTCCCATTCATGCAAATACACGAAAATAGACGCGAACGAATAAGAAAAGAAAATCGAAGAAATGTTGCCATCGATACATAATTTAGATAAAAATAAAAGCGGTTAGAGTTCATATTCTCGATAGTTTTCCTCTTTGTTTGCGTAAGTGTCTGGTCGAACGAGTAATATTCTTGGCAATATTACATGAATCGAATGGCGCTCATCAATCAAATTACCTTTCAAACGGAAAGAAGTGTGCATTGCGCCAAGCTCAGTTTCAGTTTCAGTTTCATTCTAGCTCAGTTTATGTTTGCATGTGCTGCTGCTGCGGCTGCTGCTGCTGCTGTTGTTGTTGTGGTTATTTTTGTTGTTGTTTTCTCTTTCGGCTGGCATTGCTGGTTATTGTTAATATTTTATTATTCTTCTTTTCCATTTCATTCACTTTCTCGATATTACGTTGACCTTCATTACATGACAATATGGCTAACGAAGTGCCATGCAGAAACACATAAAATGTAGCGAATGCTCTTGAAAGAATGTGATAATATGGGTGAAAATAAGAAAACTTTTCTCTTCTCTTCTTTCCACCGGTTTGATTTGTGTGTATGGTATTACTGCTGCTGCTTATTCTTCTTCTTCTTCTTTCGTTTGCATGAACTTGCACAATGTTGCGAAGCCCACTCAATGTTAACATACGATCATTGGAACCGGTTCTGTACATTATTTCATTGCATTGTTATTTCCATACATATTTTAAATGGTCTATTTATAAACGGAGCGTGTTTTCATCATCTCTCGAACAGAACCAACGCACAAAACAATAAGGAAGAACAATCGGTTGATTTTTTTCTCTTCGTATTATCGTTTCTTTTCTTTCTTTCGTGAGCACAGAACGTGAATAAGAACCATTAAGGATGGGCACCCGGACAGCAACCAATTCACTTGTGAAACGTACCGCGTTTTCGTCAGCAATCAACATTTTTCCAAATGAAGTGCCGACATCGACGACGCCTGAGATTGTCGCCGAAAATGAGTCCACGAAAAATGCACAGATTCGACCATACTCAGAGGTGCCCGGCCCAAAGGGACTACCACTCATCGGAAATTCATGGCGTTTCGCACCACTTATCGGTAAGATAATTTGGAAATCATTTTTTTTTTCTTGATGGAATTGTCGAGAGATTTTCTTGTGGCTTTTATTACATCCCACATGAAAATCAACACAAAACTGTGTTGTGGTTCGAGTGAATCTTGGATTTACCGCAACCGGTCTGTTATTGTAACTCAATTTTAACGGGAGCTCACAATAACGGGTTAAAATTGAGTGATTTCATAAGAAAAACTCGATACAAATTGATTGAATCGAAATGAAAAGTAAATCAACGGACAACATGTTAATTTTCACAAAACGAAAAGAGAAAACCGGTTGGTATCGGGGCAAATGTAAAGTTCAAAAATCCAGTTTCTGTACGAATTTTTACATAATTTCCATCAAACATAAGTTGACACCGCAAACGAGCTTCAAATTCAAACGCATCGTGCACGTTCATTTCATTTATTGAACTCAGTTTAAAAACTTATCAATAAAATGTGGCTTATTTGAATGCGAGGTGAATGGTTCCGATGCGCGTTGTCAACTGACTGCTAAGCCATTAAGAGACCCCCTGACAATAATTTATTTATTTCATTTAATTTTATTTATTCCGTTCTTAAGAAATTGAATAAAGGCATTCACATTTCCATAAAATATTCAAGTTTCAAGTTCAGAATCGATTCTATCGTCAATTTGGTTGATTTTTGAAATTTGTGTGCGAAGAAAAAAATTAATTTAATCATTTCTTTTTCGTCATCAAGAGAAAAGGTTCGGCCCATCATACCATCATACGCATAAGACTCTTGACAAGGTCATGCATTCCAATGCGTAGGGCCGACAATACCTATATAAACGTGGCGCATTCAATGTCAATAGTTCATACTTCTTGTTTGTAACAAATTAATGATCGCATCAAATTAATAATTAATGATTCGTTTTACCGTCGCTCGTCAATCAGGTCAATATCGTATTCAAGATTTGGACAAAGTCATGTACTCACTGAACAAACAGTATGGGAAAATCGCAAAAGTTGGTGGTCTTATTGGGCATCCGGATTTATTGTTCGTGTTTGATGGCGATGAAATTCGAAATATTTTCAAAAAAGAAGAAACTTTACCACACAGGTGCGTCCGAGGGTGTCTCATTCTCTTTCTGTGTACAAAGCTCACTTTTTTTTGTCAGCCATGGCATTTTATTAATACATCATCAATTTTTTTTGTCTTCAATTGAAAAAAATTAAACAGACCGTCAATGCCATCATTACATCACTATAAATCGAAGCTGAGGAAGGATTTCTTTGGTGATGACGCTGGTTTAATTGGAGTGTGAGTACAATGAATACAGCAACAACAAAAAAAAAAATTCATTTACACCACATTGTGCAGGCAATCAGTGTGATTGAGTGTTTTTAATTTTAAAAATCATGTGTGTATATGTACACAAATTACAGGCATGGCGAAAAATGGGATAATTTCCGTGCACAAGTTCAACATGTGATGCTGCAACCGTCAACCGCTCGCAAATATATTATGCCACTTAATGAAATTGCCAACGATTTCATGGATAGGTATTCAATTTTATACCAAACTTTTTTTTCGTGGTTCTCTATCTATCGATCTGCTCCACATAGAGGCAGAAAGAGAGAAAGAGAGGGAGCGAGAGAGACTCGATTATGGCATCCAGCCAAACGCAAATTGATATGCCACATTCATCCGCATACTCGCACATTGTGTGTATGTTGTGTTTTTTATGTGTCCCGCTTTCGCTCTCTCTCTCTCTCTCTCTCTCTCTCTCTCTCTCTCTCTCTCT